TGCAAAATTTAACTGGAACCTAAGTGGAACAAGATTAGGAATGTATAGATGCCACACGCTTTGAAGGTGCGTTGAAGACGCTTCCGTGTTTACCGGGAGTGCGCCACTTCTATAATCCTAAATAATACTAATGGCGCGCCTAAATTATACTTGAAGTGTCTACGGTTGCTTAGAGCGTACTTGGAGTAGACTAGTAGTTATATGATCTAAACATACTTGGGAAGTATGCTTGGATCATGGAACGGCTCCCGCATGCCACTACTCTACTTTTTGTAATATTCTATTACACTCCCTGCCATACAGTACACTACAAGTATATATGTCAAGTATACTTTTATTCCGCTCTTTTTCACTAAAGGGATGACGGTGAGACAGAAACGACTACGTCACATACGTATATCAGCACATCAGACGCTCCAGTTTTTGAATTGTGATGGAAAGGCCGATGGCCATTTCAAAACTTGTTGCATTTTTACGCATTGTTTCAAATAAGTTAGACTTTAAGAATGGCTTCATTTGAAGCTGTAATTGCAATATCGGTCATTAAACTAATAAATTTTGGTTAATTAGTCATAAATAAAAATAAAATAAAAATAAAAATAAAATAAATAAATAAATATAATGTGGCGTTTATCAATTCATCTGATGTACGCTGAGCCCACTTATATACACTGAAGGCGACATACAGATATCTATCGCTTCATTTTTTTCTAAATAATGCTGTTAAAAATAAAGATATTCACGCTTGTCCGAATAATTGAGCACCCTTCCAACACCCTTCCAGCACTCAGCACCCCTCACAATGAATCGGAAGGGTGCTCGTGCCCATGCACCCTGGCGTTCGTCGTGAGGGGTGCTAACCCTGCAAAAAAAGGGTGCTGGACGGCTAAGTGAAGGGGGCAAACCCGTTTCAGCACCCCTAAAGGGTGCTGTAGCACCCTTAAAGGGTGTAAAAAAGTTAAGTGTGTGCAGGGTCACGCGACACTCAGAAGGCACTGAATTGGTTTCGATGACTCTCGTGCTGTCTGTTGAGGTCCATCGTAAGGTGAAGTAAACTATCGTCACCGCTCTCGGTGTGACCAAACTGACTAGACCTGCGGAAAGACCGTCCCGCGCCAGACGAGGCGCGATCGTTGCTGTGAGGGTAACTGAGGAGGAGAGCTGGGTGCTAGCTGCCGCTGAGGTTTTGGCTTCCGCGCGTCTCGGCTGTCCGGTCTGCGTTCGTAGTCCTTGGCCTGGACCCTGTTTTAGGCGGTGAGAAGTCAGTTGGACGGTGTTGTTCAGGAAACACGGGGAATGTCAATCCGAACGGTGCGGTATTACCCCGATAATTGTATTTTGATGTGAAGAGCTTTGTCAACGCTGACTGCCCGATCCGTCGCCACAACGCGGACAACCGACACCGAGGTAGAAGAATGAATCGGTTGGTACCGTCTGCTGCTTGAAACTGACACTCGATCAGCGCGAAGAGGAACATCACAATTCGTACGAGAAGACGAGATAAATACAGATCGAGTCATGGCATCATGGAAGACATTTTTCGACATTAGTCGCGAAGAAAATAAACAAGCTGCACGCTGAAAGTTGTGCAATGAAACTATACACGGTGCAGTCGGCGTATATCATCGAACTGCGTTCGCCATCTGAAGAGGAAACACGAGAATGAGTATGCGAAGGGTGGAAAAGGGCAGGCGAACCAGCCAAAAATTGAATTGAATATGATAACAAATATCGAGATTCGTAAAGCAAGCGTGAACGTTTCAAAACAGGTTTCGTGACATAGTCTATCTCTATACGGTCCCACGTGCTGCGCCGCAGAGGTTGCATTTTGTCAGAGGATGTGTTCTTGCCGCTGTGCATGGAGTCGCTTCCACCAGTGTACTAGCCGTGTTGCTGTATTTGAAGTATACAGTAATATAGCTGATTCCTGCGCCACGCACGAACTGGATATCTTTATGGTCTTAGCAAACAAACACGCTGGCCGCGTATGTCGTAAAAGTCAAATAAAAAAAAAGTTAAAAAAAGAAAAGAAAATGAGTGGATTTAAGTTTTACTGTTTGTTGCGAGCCACGTGGTCGCGAGACCGATGTCTTAAACAAGCATGGCCACATCAAGGGTCTTTCTCGATCTTTGCAGTACATTGTAAATGAACACTTTGTGCCACCAGCGGTCCGCTTAATAAAATCAGTGCTTTTTTTAAGAAATTTAGCTTTTTTTTTTTTTTTTTGCAATTGTCTCTGCATTTGATAATGTCAGCTTTACGCTCCTTATGCCGGCAACACAATGTAGCTGTCAAGGGCCGATTTTTACTTTTAGGAATTAAAGGAATAGAATGGAACGATTAATCCATTCCAGGAGTGGGAATGGGCCCAGTGTCTCCATTCCTAGAAATTAAAAGGAATTGAATTATCCAACACACTAATTCCCCGGAATGGAATTGGAATGGAATGGGGGTGCCCATTCCGCAACACTGTTCGACACATCTCGCAGGATGTCGAACGTACTGACTACCGCAGCTTAGTAGAACTTAATAAACCTTTCATAGCGTTCTACGAACTATTTGGCATGTTTAACATTGAACCGTCTAGGACTGTCGCTATCTTGCATCTTTCTAGATAGCTGCCTAAGGTGCATACTACAGGCAAAAAACACGCTCGTGTGGAACTTGGAAGCGATAGATCTTAAACCGGGAGCGGAATTGTGCATTTAGGGAATCACAGCGAAATGACCTTTCTTTTTGTGTTTCTTTTGAGGAAGTTGTAGCATGAGTATGAATCTCTAAGGGGTGAAAAGATATGCGTCCGCAGGAAAAGCTTATTTTATAGACCTCTCGTGCTGTCACTTGGGCTACTTTCGGAGAAATGAGTACACGGCTTGTAGAATGAGTACTTTAAAAGCGACCTTACTATGCCATGATTAAATGAGTTGCAATTTGCACTAATCAAAGGGAGGACTGGTTTCTGCGATCTCTGCTGGAAGGCTCAACAACGACCTTAGGACTGATGATATAACCGTAAATCAAGGAATCGTAAGCCTTTCTCTGAAGGATTTTTCCTCATAAATGTTAGTCCCGCTGCACAGTATTTGCAACATTAAAGATACTGTCAGCGGACGCAACCCAGCGACCCACATTTACTTCAAAATGTTTCTTCTTTTTTTTTGTAACTAAATAAACAACCATTCTGGCCACATCAGCAGCATTGAAGATGTCAGGTCAGTTGGTAAACAATATTTATTACCTTCAACCAGCAGAGTATTACTACGTTTGTTGAAACTCACTTGTGGCTCGCACTTTCAAAGATTGGAATAACTTTCGCGTTGAAATAACGAGCTGTAGCTTTTTTTTAAATTTCATTTCTTGATTCTCTACGGAAACATTTCAGTGAAGGAAGATTTTGGTTGTACTTGCATGTTTTTTTTCCTTTTGTGACATACTAGTGTCATTTGGTTATTGTGTTTGTTTGTTTGATTGTTATTTTGTAACCTCATGACTATAACCATTCCTAGAATGGTCCTGAACAACGGCCAGTAGTACAAATAAATAAAAAAAAATAAATGAAAAACCTGGGCGGTGGTGCTGTACTTCTAATAGATATCTCACACAGCGCAGCACCTTGAATTCCGGATATATGTTCACTCCACCCCACTGAAACTAAGGGGGGGGGGAACTTTATAGCATCACTGTTATAAAACATGAGCGAAGGGCTACCGAAAAAAAAGATAATCAGACGACGTGAGGTGAGACGTCCTGGCGAAAGCAAGGGACATTGTTTTGCTAGTTTCGCGCATTTACACTTGAATGGCGATGTGGAATTCATTTGTCTTTCCTGTTCAACATCACCACTAAGGAAGATTCGGCTGCCCCGACGATTTAATGAATTATGTTTTGATGTATGAATTATATTATTAATGATGTGGCTAATTCATTTATTGTTTTATTATTTATTTATTTAGTTAGTTTTATTTCAAGCACCCTTATGGTGAGTACATTAAGAAGGGCAAAGAACTACACAAGATTAACTAGAAAGTGAACATGTTAGTAACAGGATGTTTGCTGAATTACAATACCAGCGGTGTGAGCCATCGATGCGGAAAGGCGGCTCAAGTCTGCCGACGTTTGGGGAATAAAATAATATTAAAATATAGAAGTTCTAACATTTGGGGTAGCAACATTATGGCTATGACGAATGCGAGCAAAGATGTAGAAAGGTGGTGTAGTGACGAATTATATTATGCCAAGAGATTCTCAGCGACGCCAAAACTGAGCAAAACACTTTTGCTACATGAATATCATGTAAGAGATAGAGTTTCACAAGCTATGAAAACGTAACGGGAGTGGCTGGTCGGGGACAACTGATCGTGCACGCGGCCAATCCGGGTTCATCCGACGAATTGCTGCGTATTTTCGCCGCGACACGGCTCTCGCAAAAGTCACTCCCCTTACTACATAGTCTTATAAAATATAATGCGGGTCAAAGTAGCGGTACAGGCGTTTAATCGACCGCAAAAAGCAAGTTTAATTACTAACAACGGCGCTACTTCCCAACTTTACGGCCTCAGCCCGCTCCGAACAGCGGCACTGGCTGCGGCCACGTAAACGCGGGCCTCGGACAACGCGAACCGGCAAACCGCGCAAGCCACGAAACAGGACTCTCACGCCGGCGCTGAGCAAGGTAGAAAGGGGTGGGGGAGTTCTACCTAATTGCCGTTAAACTCAAAGAGAGTGTTGACAGTCTTCTGTTTACCGGCAGAGAACACTAGGCCCTCTCGTGCCCGTACTCACAGCGTGCTCTCGCGAGAAGTTGGCTCGGACAGCGCGGACGGGGCGCAGTATACAGGACGGCTGCCGCCGCCGGTAAAAGGCAGGGGTAACGATAATTAATGGACAAGATAGAGCGGCCGAGAACGTAAACTGCAAATATCGATCGGTGTTCGCGCGCGCGACGTCGCGTGCGGTGCGACGGCGGCGGCGGCGCTGGCGGGGTCTGGGCGCGTGGTGCGGGCGGCGCTCCGAGCGCGACGCGTGGTAAGGCCGGTGTGTGTGTGGAGGGGTTGGCCCGGCCGCTGCGTGGGACCTGGGCGGCACAGGCGCTACGGTCTCGGCTCCAGTCGGCCGGCTGCTGCTGCTGCTGCGGACACGTGCAGCTAGCGGTGCCCTGCGTTGCCCGCGCGTGTGGATACCGGAAGACCGCCGCCTGCGCGCGCGCTCCTACATGTCGGTCTCGGCGGCCGCTCTGCATTATCTTCTGCTGGCTGCACTGGAAGCCGGTGAGTCACTTTGCTCAGTCTTGCTTTTTTTTTTTTTTCCTTGTTGTCCGGGAGTTGTCGTTTCGTCAAGACAGCAATATGATCAAGTTTGGTTTATAATGTTCGGTCCAATCGAGTTCTTCATTCCACCAAGACGCGAAAAAAATATGTTGACGAAAACATCGTTCCACCGCTCTCAAGAGTTATTTTTTATTGGCTCTGTATTGCTGTCTAATTACTCCATGAACGTCTTCTATTTTTTATTTTATTTTTTTATTTGAGCTTTCTTCGAAATCTTACAATCGGACAAAGCTGCTCCTGAATCAATAGTTACGTTTTGTGTTGTTCAGGACTTGACATATTTTTACGTAAAGCGACACTTGCGAACTTTACAGAAATCGTGCTTGTGGATCCCACTGAGCGATCCAGAAAGAAAACGCAATGTCTCGTTGATATTCAAGCAGTTTGTCCTATCTTTGGGTCCGACAGACTACTCGACGAGTCCCAACAGCAAAGCAATGCGTGTTACACTAGTGATTTTGTTTCTTGTTGTTTAATTTGTGTCACCTGGCTCTTGGAAATGATAGACGTAGTCCGGAAAACGCGGCAGCACATTGCATGTTTTAGATGATTGACCCTTAACTTAGGTTTGACGTGTCAAAGTTGGGCACGTCGAACTTGCGAATGAAGTGGGGTACTTTTGTTCGGCGTGGATCTATATAGGGTGTGGAAATTCCGCTCCTCGACAAGATGCAATGCCGAACGAAACTTAATACCTGTAAAACCTCCCCTAGCCGTGAAACCAACCTCCCTCATATATGAGACTGCTCGTGACATCAAGAGATAGAATAAGAATACGCTGACTTAACTCTCTTGTTAACACAGACTGCAAAAAACTGCTTGTCACTAAGTCGCCGTTGATGCATATCAGTTCTATGCCACTTTTTCTTGATGACATATTACGCCAAAACCTTTCGGGGTCAGATAACAAATATTCAGGTAATGTCCGTGTGTAGTGTGTTTGTTTAGCCAACCTTATTATACCTTTCAAGTTCCCAGCTTGCTGATTTACATCAATTGAACGGCGCTTGCGATGCCTTTTCAACTTCCGTTGGGCGTGCGCATGTTGAAGTGACACTCGAGGTAACACTCGTGGTCCACTTTTTTTTCCATTTTTTCCTCTAAACCATCCGCGCGCAGCAGCACTATTTGGACATTAGCTCTGATATGTAATAAAATCTCATGATCAATTGGCCCCGGGCTCGACTGAACGTCCCCACACATCAAGAGGATAATCACACATGCACACCTCTTCACCAGTATCATACATATGACTCGGGAAACAAATATGAAAATACTGCTTCTATGGGATTTCACAGTTTTCCAACAAACCTGGTAAAAAAAGGATAGGCGATTTAGCCATTGTCCTGCGGGCGAGGGCCCAGCGCAGTGGCGCAGGTTCCGTCCGGCTTGGACTCATAGGCCGCGGTTCCAGCGCCATTGTCGATGTAGCTCTTCCGAAAGGTACCTTCCCCAGTTTAAGCAGGTGTCGTAGATTTAGATAAGATGCCGGGTCACAGATATCACTTTCGTCGACACTTCTGCGGCAGTTATTCACGGTGCTGTCTGGATTCTGGATGGAATCTAAAGGATTTCAATCACTCGTACCCAATAAGGTTTTTCTTGTCCGCTGGTGTTCAACCACATTCGTCAAATCTCACCTTGGTGATCTGTCGTAGGCAGCGCTTAAATGAATGCGTCCAAGACCGAAATCTATAGAATCCAAAAGATTTCAATCACTCGTACCAAATAAGGTTTTTCTTGTCCGCTTGTGTTTAACCACATTCGTCAAATCTCACCTTGGTGATCTGTCGTAGGCAGCGTTTAAATGAATGCGTCCAAGACCGAGGTCTATGGAATCCAAAAGATTTCAATCACTCGTACCAAATAAGGTTTTTCTTGTCCGCTGGTGTTCAACCACATTCGTCAAATCTCACCTTGGTGATCTGTCGTAGGCAGCGTTTAAATGAATGCGTCCAAGACCGAGGTCTATGGAATCCAAAAGATTTCAATAACTCGTACCCAATAAGGTTTTTTTTGTCCGCTGGTGTTCAACCACATTCGTGAAATCTCACCTTGGCGATCTGTCGTAGGCAGCGTTTAAATGAATGCGTCCAAGACCGAGGTCTATGGAATCCAAAAGATTTCAATCATTCGTACCAAATAAGGTTTTTCTTGTCCGCTAGTGTTCAACCACATTCGTCCAATCTCACCTTGGTGCTCTGTCGTAAGCTGCATTTACATGGATACGTCCAAGACCGTAGTCTATGGAATCCAGAGGATTTCAATCACTCGTACCCAATAACGTTTTTCTTGTCCGTTTGTGTTCAACCACATTCGTCAAATCTCACCTAGGTGCTCTGTCGTAGGCTGCATTCACATGGATATGTCCAAGACCGGAGTCTATAGAATCTGAAGGATTTCAATCACTCGTACTAAATAAGGTTTTTCTTCTCCGCTTGCGTTCAACCACATTCGTCAAATCTCACCTGGGTGATCTGTCGTAGGCTGCATTCAGATGGATATGTCCAAGACCGGAGTCTATGGAATCTAAAGGATTTTAAACACTCGCACTCAATAAGGTTTTTCTTGTCCGCTTGTGTTCAACCACATTCGTCAAATCTCACATTGGTGTTCTGTCGTAGCCTGCATTCACATGGATATGTCCAAGACCGGAGTCTATGGAATCCAAAGGATTTCAATCACTCGTACCCAATAAGGTTTTTCTTGTCCGCTTGTGTTCAACCACATTCGTCAAATCTCACCTTGGTGTTCTGTCGTAGGCTGCATTCACATGGATATGTCCAAGACCGGAGTCTATGGTATCTAAAGGATATCAATCACTCGCACCCAATAAGGTTTCTCTTCTCCGCTGCTGTTCAACTACATTCGTCAAATCTCACCTTGGTGTTCTGTCATAGGCTGCATTCACATGGATATGTCCAAGACTGGAGTCTATGGAATCTAAAGGATTTCAATCACTCATACCCAATACGTTTCTCTTCTCCGCTTGTGTTCAACCACAGTCGTAAAATCTCACCTGGGTGATCTGTCGTAGGCTGCATTTACATGGATACGTCCAAGACCGGAGTCTATGGAATCCAGAGGATTTCAATCACTCGTACCCAATAAGGTTTTTCTTGTCCGCTTCTGTTCAACCACATTCGTCAAATCTCACCTTGGTGCTCTGTCGTAGGCTGCATTTACATGGATACGTCCAAGACCGGAGTCTATGGAATCCAGAGGATTTCAATCACTCGTACCCAATAAGGTTTTCTTGTCCGCTTGTGTTCAACCACATTCGTCAAATCTCACCTTGGTGATCCGTCGTAGGCTGCATTCACATGGATATGTCCAAGACCGGAGTCTATGGAATCTAAAGGATATCAATCACCCGAACCCAATAAGGTTTTTCTTGTCCGCTCGTGTTCAGCCACATTTGTCAAATCTCACCTTGATGATCTGTCGTAGGCAGCGTTTAGATGGTTGCGTCCAAGACCGGAGTCTATGGAATCTAAAGGGTATCAATCACTCGTACCCAATAAGGTTTTTCTTGTCCGCTTGTGTTCAACCACATTCGTCAAATCTCAACTTGGTGCTCTGTCGTAGGCAGCGTTTAAATAAATGCGTTCAAGACCGAGGTCGATGGAATCTATAGGACTTCAATCATTCGTACCCAATAAGGTTCCTCTTGTCCGCTTGTGTTCAACCACATTCATGAAATCTCACCTTGGTGCTCTGTCGTAGGCAGCGTTTACATGGATGTGTCAAAGACCGGAGTCAATGGAATCTAAAGAAGATCAATCACTCATACTCAAAACGTTTCTCTTCAGCGCTTCTGTTAAAACCACATTCGTCAAATCTCACCTTGGTGCTCTGTCGTAGGCAGCGTTTAAATGGATGCGTCCAAGACCGAGGTCTATGGAATCCAAAGGATTTCAATCACTCATACCCAACACGTTTCTCTTCTCCGCTTGTGTTCAACCACATTCGTCAAAACTCACCTCGGTGCTCTGTCGTAGGCTGCGTTTACATGGATACGTCCAAGACCGGAGTCTATGGAATCCAGAGGATTTCAATCACTCATACCCAATAAGGTTTTCTTGTCCGCTTGTGTTCAACCACATTCGTGAAATCTCACCTTGGTGCTTTGTCGAAGGCAGCGTTTAAATAGATGCGTCAAAGACTGGGGTGTATGGAATCTAAAGGATTTTAATCACTCGTACTCAATAAGGTTTCTCTTGTCCGCTTGTGTTCAACCACGTTCGTGAAATCTCACCTTGGTGCTCTGTCGTAGGCAGCATCTAAATGAATGCGTCCAAGACTGAGGTCAATATAATCTAAAGGAAATCAATCACTCGTACCCAATGCGTTTCTCTTCTCCGGTTGTGTTCAACCACATTCGTCAAATCTCACCTTGATGCTCTGTCGTAGGCAGCGTTTATATGGATGCGTCAAACACCGGAGTCTATGGAATCGAAAGGACATCAAGCACTCATACCCATTGCGTTTCTCTTCTCCGGTTGTGTTCGACCACATTCGTCAAATCTCACCTTGGTGCTCTGTCATAGGCAGCGTTTACATGGATGAGTCAAAGACCGGAGTCTTTGCAATCTAAAGGAGATCAATCACTCATACCTAATACGTTTCTCTTCTCTGCTTGTGCTCAGCCACATTCTTGAAATCTCACCTTGGCGCTCTGTCGTAGGCAGCGTTTACATGGATGAGTCAAAGACCGGAGTCTATGCAATCTAAAGGAGATCAATCACTCATACCCAATACGTTTCTCTTCTCTGCTTGTGCTCAACCACATTCGTTAAATCTCACCTTGGTGCCTTGTCGTGGGCAGCGTTTACATGGATGCGTCAAACCGGAGTCCATAGAATCTAAAGGAGATCAATCACTCATACCCAATACGTTTCTCTTCTCTGCTTGTGCTCAACCACATTCGTGAAATCTCA